GAAACACACATTCCATTCCTCTCTGCCAACAGCCTGCACACATTACGCTCTCAGTGCAGCTGAATACTCAAGATTTGCACATTTGATCATCCCGCCTTCATCACTCTAACTCTGAGCTCACATTACAAAGTGTTACAACCTCAGTGACTAATAGAAAAGACTCAAATGCTTCAAAAATACAACAACAAAAAAAAAAGCTTCAAAAACTCATTTCCCAGCTTCAAGTGTTGTTTTCGATCGGGTTCGCGGCTGTGGTTGACTTGTAATCCTGATCGCTGACTGATAAGCGGCTGAAATAGTGTCTTTGCTATTGATTGGACGACAGGCTAGCCAGTCTCAGGTATTGATTGTAAGATACGTTGGTGACACTGTGGCTGAGGCTGAGAAAACAAACACATAACTACGCGGTCCAGTGTCGATCCGAGGGGGGACACGAGCACGACCAGGCCTGACCCCAATAAACCAGAGAACAATTAGGCCCGATACAAACTGTGTCGACCCAAACAGACTCTAACAGGATAGGAATGCAGACAACGGCAGCGGCACCGCACGGCTCAAGTGCCGACTGGTTTTACCTTCTTGGACTCTTTTGAATTCATTTTTCTCAACACTTTATTTTCAAAATGTACCACTTTCTCCTGCAGTGACTGTGAGAAACACTGCAGCAGTAAAACAAGACGATCTGGTTGGACTGAGTAGAACTTGTCCTGGTTCGGTGCTATTACTGGGTCGAATCTCACTTCCTTAGAACTGAGTGTTGGTCTGTAGGCTCCCTCAGTTAATTTTCTATTTTATTCATGTTGTACTTTTTGGTGTTTTTGCATTTTTTTGGAAGGAAACACGGGGTTAGACAGATGCAAATAACATGCGACTCAGGTCCCTGCACCTGTAACCACGAGGCTGAAATGTAAAGCCGACAGATCCTTACGTCGGTGTTCTGGAAACAGCAGCTGTCACGATGTTAATATGTTCTTGGGAAAGGAATAAGGATGATGAAGGGAAGACTTAATTAGGGATAGGTGGATTATTGATTTATTGACACTAAGATCTGCAGCTGATGCTAATTTTTCTAATTGTTTAAAAGGGGTGTCCGACATTTATCACCTGAATCTACAGCTCCCTTCGGCTTCGTGGTGCTTTCGAGCGGGTTTGTGCTATATTTAGCTTTCCAGCCTGCGATCTTACAGTTCTGTGTTGGTCTCCTTGCTTTTGTAGTGCTGTTCTCTGCTGGAAAGGAAGGTTTTTCAGTTAAAAAAAAAAAAACCTGCTGAACACTACCTGCTCCACACCACACAGTAGACAAACACAATTAGAGACTAACTGGTGAACACGTCGGAGCATTTAGCAGCTAAAGCATATTTGCTAAAGGGTCGGTGGAGACCAAAGACAGAGCCAGAAGAGATGAATATTAGAATTAGATTCACTGAGTGGGCAGAAACGGAACTCAAAAAGACCCAAATACCTGAAAAAACAACCAAATTAGGTGAAAACAACCCTGATTTGGAGATAATCACAGTTTCACTTCCTTTTCAGTTAATTTGCTGCTGTTTTGTTGATTCACCATTTACTAACTACAAATTTCTTTTTGTAGGCCAACCAGCAATAATAATAATAATTAAAAAAAAACAAACTGGAAATTATCACAACTGAGAGGCAGTGACTGGTGAAGGGTTCTGGTTTAAATATCCTTAAACTGCCGTCTCTTTCAGTGTGTTGTGTGTGCAGTTTGTCATGAAGTAGAACCAGATATCATCAAATGTTCAGGTCCTTTTTATTTCAGCTGAACTGACTGTTGCTGGTGCAGGTTTGGCTGCCATTTTTTACAAGTGTTAGCACTTCTGTTGTTCTTTTTCTGAGGAGTAGCAGAGGTCACCCCCGTGAGGAATTCCTGCTATTTCCAACTCTTAATTACGACTAAACATGACGAGAGCAGATTTTCTCATTCGGCTGCTCGTAATTATGTTCTGACATGAATTCGGCATTCAGCGGAGTCTTCAGAGTGCCATTCAGTAGCGCAGCTTTATCTCAGTGTTTCAGTTTATTCAGGCATGTGGAGGCCTGAATGATGATTACAAGTGTCTCCGTCTGTGGTTTGTGAACTGGTAATCATCCAAGATGGAGGAATTTCCCGGTGCTCCTCCTGTTGATGTGAAACTGCCGGCCCGCTGTCACGCTGGCAGTTCATCGCAGGAACCTTTTTTGGGCCGGCTCTGATTTGCCGTTAACGCTGTCAGTCAGACGAAGCTAGGCGGTGTGTGTGTGTGTGTGTAGACTCGACTGTAGGGCTCAGCCTGGTTGCTAGGCAACAGAGCAAAGACCTCCTCGCCAGGTCACTAGGCCTGTCTTTCAGCAGTGTGTACATGTGTGTGTGCATACATGCGTACATGCGCTTGTGCGAGTGACAGAGCAGATTTATGGGAGGAGGAGAAAAAAAAAAAAAAAGCTTTAAAGTGCGACTGCATTCTTCACTGTTGTGCTGCTGCTCCACTTCTCCGTTTCTCTTTCTGACATGCTGCAAACACACAAATGGATCTCCACCCCCTCACACTGCCTCAAACCCAGCTGTGCCCCCATCCCTTCCTGCCCACACACACATGTCTGCCTCTATCCTTGCGAGGACCTTCATTGGCATAATGCATTGCCCAACCCCTTAACCTTAACCATCAGAGATAAATGCCTAAACCTCAGCCTTATCCAAACTCAAACCTGATTAAAACCTGAATCCTAAGACCAACTCCGAACCCTCAAACCCGCCTTTTGAAGCTCTGTTCAATCACAGTATCCTTGCTTGTCTCAAACCGGTCCTGTTAAACACAGACATGCAAACAAACGGCGTTGTCTTCTTCTTCTTCCCTCTTTTTTTTCAGCTTCTCTCGTCTCTTTCCTCCTGGCAGCCTGGCGCCTCATTTGCATTGTGCAGGCTACAGATGGACAGAGTTCAAACCATCCTGCTTACCGTCTTCACCCCAAGTTACTGCTGTGTTTGTGGTATCGGTTTGAGAGAAAATGGGACTAATGTGACCCGGCCTAACTCCTGCACAAATAAACACTCGCACATGCACACAAACATGAGCGCTCTGTTGCTTAACTGCTAGAAACCTGTGGAAAGTGCCTCCAGTTGCCACGGCGCCTCATGAAAGTGTAATGACAAGGTGAATAATTAAGATTAAAGCAGAGCGTAATGTCACCCCGTGTGTGTGTGTGTGCGAGAGAGAGCGAGAGAGTGTGTTTGTTTGTTCCCTTGTATTGGGAACTGGCCTTTTTATTGCAGTGCTATTTTCACAATCATGTTTGTCAGTGCTGCAGAAATGTGAACCACAATAACATCCTTATTTCATTTTAAGGTAATACTGCAAGTCACTGTGGAGTGGAAGTGGTTTAAAACAGCACTGCGGAAGATTTTTATGTAAAAATACACCAGTGATATGAGGCTAAACCACAAAGTCAGGCTGCTGCAGAGGAGATTGTCCCACTCTGATCTGCCCTATTTATCTAAATGGAGTTCTGGTGTTGGTCATGTTCACGTCTTCGTCTGAAGGAAGCGACTGATCAAAATTTAAAGGGATGGATTTGTGCTTTATTTGCATCTGACCCAGAGTGAGACGAACGCATGGGCGTGTTCCTCAGTGTGCAGTTTAAAAGTATCTCAGCTCCTTTGCTGCTGGATCTCTGTACAGTTTGGAGCAGCTCTGCTTTAAACATGGAGTTGGTCACAGTTCTGTTTCATTATTAATTTATTTGCTGTTGTTTTTTTTTTTTGATTACCCACTTGGACCATGAAATGTTAGAGAAGAGTGAAAATCAATTCCTCAAAAGTCAAGGTGACAGCTTGTCCAATCCAAAGTGTTCAGTTTAGAGCAAACAATTTAAAAATAGCAAGTTATCTGTGAAGCTGTGAATGGAGAAGATTCTGGATTTTTAGATTTAAAAAATAATGATTGATTGGTTACTTAGGGGTTGAGTTAAATGACTAACTATAGTGTTTACTTTTTCCACAAGAATATAAAGTCCTATCAACATGGACTAAACAGCTAACAGTCTTATTTGTTTTTGTCAAATGATCAGAAATGCCCTTTTCTGTGCTTTCTTAGCTTTCAGATACAATTTAAACTCTAATAAATTGTGCCTTTTACACGACAGTCAAGTAAAATCGGTCACTGATTAATCAAATTACTGACAGAAAATAAACTGACAGCAATATTTTCATAATTAAACTTAAATCTACACAAAAAATATTAAAAATGATTAGGTCCTAGCTCCTCCAATGTGAATTTTTTCTGGTTTTCTTGGTTTTCTCTGAAGGTAAACAGAATCTTGGACTATTAACTGGACAAAACCAGACATTTCTCTGTTAGATCATGATCATTTCCCACTACTCTGGCATTACTATTTGAGAAAATAACCAGCTGATTGATTAAGTTTGTCCTAGAAATTCACCAATAGAATTTTTGTTACTTGTAAAGATTCTTTTTCTATTTCAGCCTTCAACGCCCGAGCATCCCAAAGTACGAAACATTCTCTGTCCTACTAGTTTCCCAATAAAAGGATTTATTTCTTTATAAAAAAGGGACCAGCAGGCATGTGCTATTTCAGGCTGCGAGTACGAACTGTGTTTATTTCAGTCTTTCACTACACTGAATGATTTCCAGCAGCGAGCAGGAACATGCAGTCAGATCACCAGGTATAGGGCCTGCTGCCATTTAAAGCTGCCAACGTGGGAAGTTTCCTGTGGCAGCTTTTAAGTTACAAGGTGTGATTATAAGGCGTCCCACCATGCAACGGTTAAATATAAAATCATCGGAACTGAAGCAAAAAATATAGCCTATATATAGACTGCAAAGAAAGAACAAACTGCTGAAATGCGAGTAGCCTATTGTGCAGTGACTAATGCCACATAATTGACATATTGATTCATCTGTGTGTTCCTGTTCTGTCGTGGTATTTGGCTCCGCAGCGAAGCCTGAGTTGATATTCACCTTTTTCCTCTTCTTCCTCCTCAGTGTGCTGTTTTGTGGTCCACAAGCGCTGTCATGAATTTGTCACCTTTTCCTGTCCGGGGGCCGACAAGGGACCTGCCTCCGATGTGAGTAAAGAAAGCCCATGCACACACACACTCACACACACACGTACGCCTCAAAGATCTGCACAGCTCGCTTTGTTTAATCCCTCGCTCTTTATTTTTAGCCCGACTTTGAAATTTTTTTGGTGGGAATCCATAGTGAGGCAGATCACTCCGCTAATGTGTTCCAGTTAAACATTTTGTCGTGCTGTCGAACGGCCGTTATTGATAAAAGGAGCAAAGTCAGCACTGACTCCCTGTTTCCGTACGCGCTGCACACACAGATGTAACCTCCTGACCTCCCTCCTGCTGACATGTCAGCCCTGAATCACATTAAGACATGTCTGTAAAGGGAAAATGTGCTGCTTGGCTGCCTCAGGTTAATGAGCCAATATCCCTCGTTCGGTTACGCACACACCATTTGTGAGTCAGCGCGGGCTTTAAAGTCATATGACTGATGTTTATTAATCTCTAACTCTTCTGTCTTTGTTTTTGTTATATCACCAAAGCTGTTTTGTTGTTTTCCTATTTTTGTGCATCCTCACTCCGTCCGTACACCATTTCCTTTCTCGCTCCCAGTGTATTTTTATTTTCGCTCTCTGTTATGATGGAGCAAGTGTTTAAAAGATCAGTTCACCCAACGTGGAGAAAAACTTGAAGTCCGTTCACCTCCACTGTATTTATGTGGCATCACAAACCTCAGACAGAACCGAAACCATGAAACGTCAGTATAATCTGTTGATGATGGGTTAAATAAGCGTTGCTGCTGTGAAGCAGGCGGCACAACAGAGGTGACGAGCAATGGGAGCAAAGGATACCGTTGACTGACATATGGGTCATTCCATCTAAAATCAGCAAATTTTCAGAGCAAGTTCTCTTTAACCAGCTCTGATTCGCATAAAATTTTTATAGTACAAAATATAGATATTTGTAAAGTTTTAGATTGGTAATTGGAGACTGTTTGAACAACAATATTATGGGAACTAAACAGATAAAAGCCTGAAATATCTGTTATTTCTCATCATGCCACTGATGCAGACTCTGGTATGCTGGACAAATAGATCAAATAGTCTCTGATTATTGGTGCATTAAAAATGAACAGAAATTGAAGTCGTCATGAGAAGTCTAATTTGAGCACACATTCACAAAACAATTGATAATGCACAAGTCAACTAGTGATATGTTGTTGCCTGTCACAATACCACAAAACAAAGCATATAGAGTCATTTTTTATTATGAAATACTTTGTCATAACGGATGGAGCAGGTATGACAAGCTGCACCACTTGATGGAATAACCCATATGACGCCAGCGCTGATCTCCCCAAACATTTACCACAAAGACACAATGGCCACTTAAACCACATCAGAATGGAAGAGCAGCTCATCGCTGTTGTCTCCAACAAACTTGAATCATGCAACTGGTATCTGATATCTGAAAAAGTTACAGGTTTGATGAATAAAGAGTATTATGTGTGAACTAAAATAAATTAAATGGGAGTGAACTGTTACTGTTGAAGCTGAGGCTTGACAGTTTCACTCAGATAGTTTTGTGCTTTAGTTATGTCCCATTAAAGGAAATCAAATTAATGAATAACCTACTATTTCAGACAATAGTGAGGTTTTATAAAAGCTGTTTGAACGTAACCATTTGGTTTTGTAGAATGTAGCTGGCCTGAGGGAGGCCTGACATCAGCCCCATCTTTGGTATGAAGCCTTATCACCCAAAGTCAGTGGCTGGAATCACTAATGCGGCCAGTTTTTCAAAAAAAAATATGAAGTCCATCCCAGACGAATGGGCATTGTGTGATGCAAACACCATAATAATTCATACGATTTTCAAAAAGATAAGAAATGTTCTTTTGTACATATACTTTGCTCGGGTTTTGACTTAATTTTGCAAATAAAAAAATCTGCACCCCCAGAGCTACATGAGAACATATTGCCTTTTAATTTGGGTGAGCAGAGGCTTTAAACACAGCCTAAAAGAACAACTGAGAACACCTGAACCTAAAGTTTTACATCTTTTAACGGTGGTGCAGGAACCCTCATGAAACGACCTGGATTACTTTAATACTGAACTCAAGAGTCTCCTCTCTCTGTCTCTGCAGGATCCTCGTAGTAAACACAAGTTTAAGGTCCACACTTACTCCAGCCCCACCTTCTGTGACCACTGTGGCTCCCTCCTCTACGGGCTGATACACCAGGGCATGAAATGCGACCGTACGTACACAACATCTGCATGTGTCAACGTCTGGTTCAGCTTGTTGTGCAAATAATGGTTTGTTCTTTACAGGATGCAGGTCCTCTATTTATTTGTCTGAAACCTAAGCCTAAAACCCTGCATGCATCATGAGTTGCCATTTTGAAAAAAATAAGGACAGAAGATGTGGGATGTTGTACACACAGTTGTCAGTTGTAGGGTTTTGATATCGTCTCATACAATGTTCCTGCTATAAATTCTATTGTAGTGAAGGATATAATTTTCAGTTTCTGGTGAAACTATTATAGAGGTGCAACTGTCCAATCATTGACTTGTATGGATTTATGCATTCACAAAAGAAATAAAAATTAAGACAGTCACGTAACTATATACTTAATACCATTGCGAAATAATGTACAAATGACTAATGCGGCAGAAATCTAAGTAATCTAAGTGATTGTTACCTAAGCCTGATCCTGCCTTTAGGTCTGTTGTCACGCAAATTGCAAAGGGAGAACACCATTTGTGGCAGAACAGATGCAGTTTGAAAACATTTAAATCAATAATGGATCAATTGACAATACAAATTCAGCACAGTGCACATTTGTCTTGTTCTAATATTACTGTTTAAGTCAAGACGGCTCTGTTACATATGCCACTGAGATGGGAGCTTCGCTTTACACAGCCCACTCCTTGGAACATAATAGTCTGGCTGCACCGCATCACCGTTCGACTATAGGAGGAAAAAGAAAGGATGTGTTTTGGTGGAACATTTGTATGATATTTGCATGACGAGAGCTGTCATTTAAACAGATAATCCACTTCAATAAATTTTTTAGCAGGTTTGCCGTACTGCATGATCCTTTGCAATACTTAAAATGTACAGTGTTGTAGGTTACTCCTCGGAGGTTGTTGCTGTTGTTCCCCATGATAAAGTGAATACTGACAACGGTAGCATGTAGCTCACGGATGGAAAGTAGAAATCTGTGTAACACGAGCAGCAAATAGCAGCCTACATTTGGTGAGTTAGACTACTGAGATACACAAAATCTGTCTTAGTCAATCCTGGCTTGTCTGAAACACATGAGCTATTAAGCATCACAGAAGTCCTTGTCATGGTAGCCTGACCCCCATAATGCTCTGCTTTCCAAGAGGATGCTGCTTTTAGTCTGATTGAATGCCTTCTCATGTTGCTACACTAGTCAACAATGAGAAACTCCACCTGGTGGTACAAACAGGTACTACAGATAATCTGCAACACATATTCTGACATGCATGTAGAAAAAACGGGCCTTTGAGGTCATTTGGAGCTTTTTGGAGCCACAGTACGTCCTACCCTCATAACACTACATTTCAGATGGTGCTCTGCTGGAGTTTTACAGCAAGGTTCATGACCAACGACAGATGCAGAAATGCATTTTTTTTTTTCTTTAATGAAAAAAATACATTATTTACATTAAATGACCTGCTGCTGCTCCTATACTTGGCTTCAGCTGTGTAACATTTACTGTGGATCATTTGCCTGTTGTAGGTGGCAAAGACACAAACAGGAAGTAGGGTACATCTCTACAATGCGGTATTCAGCCATGACTAGTGGTATTGCCTGTGCAGACATTTCCTCATTGTACCTGTGTGTATACAGCGTTTGATGGACTTTGACTTGGCCTACTAATTAAAAGAGTGTATTAGCTTATTTAAGATCATTCACAAATGTGTTTAGTTGTATATTAATCCACATAAACACACAACATATGAGTAGAAGATATGTGTTTCTTTCACATTTACTGACTGAAAATCAACATGCTGTGGCTAAATTATTGTACTTTAATTATTTTGCTAAACATGGAGATAATTAATCGTCTAATACAGACGGAGTTTATTTGATGCTAATGCGATGTTTCAGGAGTGTCAGTGTATAGTAGATATCGCTCAAGATTTACAGTCGGTTTAGATGACCTCATTTGGATGTCCACAGACAGATTCTTACCTTAAACTGCAGTGCAAGGACAGTAATGTAAAGAGTTTGTTTGGAAACCTGTTAAGTGTTTATACAGATGCCCAGATATTCTTTTAAGTCACGCTTAAAATACTGTGAACCAGTCATGTCAGACTTTTATTTTAGATCTGCATATAAGATGAAGTGAGCTGTGCCGCTCTGCCACATCAAACACTTGTTTTCTGTGCCATCCCTCTGTAGAGTATATGAAGTCTAAATGGCTGGTGTAGCTGAGTGTAAGCGGATGTAAACTTAAACAAATAGATGTCTCTTTTGGAAATATAAAAAAAATCATTGTAAAAACGAACTATATGGAAAGGTACTACACTGGAATGAAAAACATACAGACAGCAATAGATTAACTTGTGATTCTCCACCTCTGCAGAAGCACACTACCACCCACTGATTTGAGGGAGTGGAGCAAAATGTACATCAGAGCAGTCTGCCATCCAGTGGACCGACTGAGCAACAACATATAATCATTTCTTGCTTTCTGTATTTTCAGAAAACATGCTTACTTGGTTTTTGTGGTTGTCCGTCTGGCTGTAATCAATGAAAATGCGTCTGAAACAATCACCATTGAGTGTTTTTAAGATGGTGACTCAACTCTAAAAGTCTAAATGTATTGTTTCAGCTAACATTTAAGTGAGCCTTTTTACTAAAGTATAATCCTCAGTCCTCTCTGAACAACACAGACATGAATGGTGTGCCTGTTAGGGTCAGCACTAGTTGAGAGTAAACTAGTTGTACTCGAGAGTTCTAGTTGCAAACAAGATGCACTTCTAGCTGGGACATTGAGCAGAGCAGCATGTCATAGAAACAAGATTAACACCATGAGATGGAGGAGAGGCTCACTGAACTCTCACCAAACTCCGGCTGATTAAATGGTTGTATGACAGTTACTGTGATTGGAGTTATTTCATTTCTGACAACACAACAAGTGATACCATTTGAGGTTGATGTTGGCTGATGCCAAGCTCAGACCACAAGACTTCAGAAGTCACAGCTCTAACTAAACAACTCTTTCATCTGTCACATCTCTTTGTGACACTGTGATGCTCATACTACAAGACAGCGTGCTTCACTAATTACAGCAGTAGCTTTTTTTTCCCCCTCATATGTCTGAAATTGATTCCCTTGCACTAAAAGTGAGAATTCACAGAAACATTTTTTATATTCTGCTACTTTTCGAGTCCAGCTCCACTCTCCATCTCATTGGCGGACACTTCACATCCTCGAGCTGCTTGAATTAGAAGAGTATCTCTGATTATTTGGTGGTAATTTCAAGCACAGCGGCATACATCAGCGCCTCTAGGAGAGCTCTCAGCACAGATGAGAATGCGCCTGTGGTTGCTCTGACCTAACAAGTGTTGTGAGATTTGGCCACAATGTGGGGTTTTTGTCTCTGAGCAAAAAAAGTTTGTCTGGAACAAGAAAATCACAGCTGAAGTCTGATAGTTTGAGCACGACTTGAAAGAAAGGTTGTAGAGTTTGAAAGACAGGTAAAGAGGGTCAGCTGAATTGTATAAAGAAATGGACCCAGTATCTGTCTTTCCTGCTTTTTTTGAAACTGTTGTTTTTCAGTCAATCTCTTGTGAGCCCCTCATGTTTCTGAAAGTGCAGAACTAAATCGCTTAAGAGCTTTTTTAATCCCGCAATAAGGTACCAAGAGCATTCTGATAATTAAACGTGGGTTTAAGGATACAGGCTGTCATATGTCGCACAGATTGTCAGGCTTGGAGGCTGGTTTGTGATTTATAAGATAAATTCACTTGTGTACTTTTTTTTTTTCCCCATCTGGGTTCAGACTGTATGATGAACATCCACAAGCGATGCGTGGCCAACGTCCCGAGCCTGTGTGGGACGGATCACACAGAAAGGAGAGGACGCATCCACATCTCTGCCCAAATCACCGACGACAGTCTCTCCGTCACCAGTGAGTGCCCTCTGTTCATTCCTCTCATGGTTCTCACATTTTTACCCCCCCTCCCTGACGCGCACACATTCACACACAGCCCTCAAAGCTTTCTATCAGCCCAAGACTAAAACTGGAAAGTCCATTAGTCAATCAATGCTCCAATGATTGACCCACATCGCCACTGGGACATGCATCCACGTGCCAACTCTCTCTCTCTCAGACAGCTGTGGATTGATTATGGAACAGAAACTAAACTGTTGTTAAGTGTTCTCAAATGTAGCCAGAGTTATTTAGGGCAGGCCAGGACTCAAAGCTTTAGATGTGGATGTGTTGTGCACATTGAACAGCAGTCTAAAAGTGTGTTTTGTTTTTTTTTATCTCGGGCTGTTTTTCTTCCTGCGGCACCTATTTTTAATTCGTGTCTTCAACCCCTCCCAGTCAAAGAGGCTAAGAACCTGGTGCCCATGGACCCCAACGGCCTGTCAGACCCCTACGTCAAACTCAAGCTGATCCCAGACCCCAAGAGCGAGAGCAAGCAGAAGACCAAGACCATCAAATGTTGCCTCAACCCCACCTGGAACGAGAGCTTCACTTTGTGAGACATGTTTTGTTCTACGTTTTCAAAGAAATACATTCATTTGCTGGCTTTTTTTTTTTTTTTGGGAATACAGCTTGGTTTAAAGACACTCTCTTGGCCTTATTTTCAGTGACATAAGCACAAAGCTAACTGGAGCTCATGCGAGTGACCCTGTCCTCATTCTTTTTCCTGTTTGTGCTCATTGTTATTCAAGCTATTCTGGGTTACTGTGACTGCTAGGAAAAAGGCACAAGCATGAAAAAGTGTCATTTGCTGAGATGTTTACAAGTTTAAATAGATAAAGATGAAAAGATTGTGATCTAGGTTTTCTTTCTTACCTATTTTAAGAACATCCTCGATCTTAACTTTCATTTGACCGTCCTCCTCTCCCCCCGCCTTTTTTTGTTCTCACTTCTCAGCAACCTCAAAGAAAGTGACAAGGACCGCCGTCTGTCGCTGGAGGTCTGGGACTGGGATTTGACCAGCAGGAACGACTTCATGGGGTCGCTGTCGTTTGGGATCTCAGAGCTACAGAAACAAGGGATAGATGGATGGTGAGATGTCAAGATGGAGGAGAATTTGGAAAATTACACAGGTGTAGACAGAAATAACAAAGGCAGAAGGTACAGGGGCGTGAATATTTAGGGGCTTTATTGTCATAGTCTGGTGATAATCCTGGGCTTTATCTGACACGGCTTTGTTTTCACTCTGGGGTTTAGGTTTAAGCTGCTGTCCCAGGAGGAGGGAGAATACTTTAACGTTCCCGTCCAGCCAGAGGGAGAGGAGGGTAATGAGGAGCTACGACAAAAGTTTGAGGTGAGACGCACAGAAAGGGAGAAGCAAAGTGACAACTGATGTAATCTGTGCTCCTGCTTCTTTATATTTTCTTTCTAATTACCCTGTTTTGCATTAATTCCTTCTCTGTCCAGAGGGCAAGAGTTGGTCCAGGGAAGCCCACCGACTCATCTTCCTCTTCTTCAGTGTGCAAGTACGACAGCAACGGCAATCAGGACCGCGTCAAGCTCTCAGACTTTAACTTCGTCATGGTTCTGGGCAAAGGCAGCTTTGGCAAAGTGAGGCTCATTACTACGAACGTGTTTAGAGTGGGAAAACTAAAATTGAGTCACTCTGAAGCTTATTAATTTCCTTTCACTGACTCCCTTCAGGTGATGCTGGCTGAGAGGAAAGGTACAGATGAGTTGTACGCCATCAAAATCCTGAAAAAAGATGTGGTGATCCAGGACGATGACGTGGAGTGCACCATGGTGGAGAAGAGAGTCCTCGCTCTGTCTGGAAAACCACCTTTTCTCACTCAGCTGCACTCATGTTTCCAAACCATGGTAGGACACATGCAGAAACATGGCAGCTTGCAACAACAGCGTTATTCTCAAATTAAGTACATTTGAACTGTTTGTTTGGTGGTCACATGTGAAGCACAAAAGCTGCAACAAAACCGGTTCCTTTATTCTCCTCTACGTTTTAATCTTTGCTTCTAGGACCGATTGTATTTCGTCATGGAGTATATTAATGGAGGAGACCTTATGTACCAAATTCAACAGGTCGGCAAGTTCAAGGAGCCCCATGCTGTGTGAGTACACACACCCTGTGTGGTTAATCACATGCAGCAAAGGAACAAGCAGTTTTACTCTCAGCAAAATGTCTACCACTTAAAGACCCTCTTTGATGAGAATTACGTTGTGTGTTGTTCATCACCATGTTCATGTGTTGTTTTTTATATGCTGGAAGACACATCATGTGCAAAATAAGCAGTCAGCGTTATGGCTGAGCATTTCCACCTTTGAAGCTGTAGTGTATCAATGACAATCTCAAAAACCCATTTAAACTTTCAGGGTTTTATATATAACACACCCAAGGAACCAACGTTCATTATTATTCTTCAGAATTGGTTTCTGGTTCAAACGTGCCTGAATGAATTACTTCAATCTTATCATTTGTGTAGCACAAAGCAATTTTACAGTGTTCGAGCAGAGTCGTAGGTGAGCTGATGTGCTCCAGCTGCAGTGAATGTGAAGGGGTCCATGGATCTGCACAGTGTAGAGTTGAATCGAAGCCATTATTTTTCATGAAAAAAGCAGCATTTAAATATGTAACTTTTTTCATAGATGAGTGGGGTTTTTTTTGGGTCAAATCAACAACTTGAGCAGAACTTTAAAGAACCATACAGCGATTATTATGATTAAATGTAGTTTCAAGACTTGAGCTTCTAACAGAAGGTTGCCAGGTCAAGATTATCATGAGAAGTTTACTCCACAGTGTGCTCAGCTCATTAGCCGCTCGAAGTTTGTTTTGCTTCTTCTCACCTTAAAATACAAAATTACTTTCTGATTTGCTCTGCTTTGCTTTGTCCACAGAGGAAATATATGCTCCTCTCCTTGAACGTTTTGGGCTCATCTGATAAAATGACAAAGGAAGCACAAAATTTAGATCTTGACAAACCTTTACCAGATGTCAAATCAGCAATTGGCTTCTAACTTGACATTTATGTGCAATATATATCAATTACTTGCGGCTGCTTCACAGACAAAAGCCCTACAGCACGGATGATTCATTCACTTCTTGGCCACTTTGCATGTAACTCAACTCATATTTTATGCATAAGCACAGTGGGATGGTTATGAGTTCTTTAAAGTAATGCTATTAGGTTGCCTGGTAACGATATGCAAATTTTGCTAACGCCGTTTCTCATTCATGGTGTTTAAAAATAAAACAGATGGCCGTAACAGTGTGACACAGACATCACATAGAATTTATAAAAACTGAAAAATATGTACCAGCAAATCATCCACCCCTAATATACTGTACAACATGCATCTGTATGAATGCAGATGTGCACATATTGTTATGAACCGTTTGTGTTTCAGGTTCTACGCTGCAGAGATTGCCATTGGTCTTTTCTTTCTTCACTCAAAAGGCATTGTGTATCGGTAAGAATGTTTGAATCAGCTCGCCTTCCCACGTGCAGCGTTCGATTGTTTCAGTATACAGGTGTGAATAATACCTCTTTGTGTTTGTGTTTGCAGAGATCTGAAGCTGGATAATGTGATGCTGGACTCAGAAGGCCATATAAAGATCGCAGACTTCGGCATGTGCAAAGAGAACATGTACGACGGAATCACCACAAAGACTTTTTGTGGAACGCCAGACTACATCGCTCCAGAGGTGTGTTTACAAGTTGTTCAGAAGCTGATTGAATGCTTTATTAATTTAATCTTTTAACTTTTGAACGGGACTCTGCTCTCCTCCTTGTAGATAATAGCCTATCAGCCTTATGGGAAGTCTGTGGATTGGTGGGCTTTTGGAGTACTGCTTTATGAAATGCTCGCCGGACAGGTTTGTGTACATTCACTGTTCATACATATTTGACTAAAACAACAAAACAAAAAAACAAAAGACCTGAAAATGATGAAGCGTATTTGTGCCTCTCCAGCCGCCTTTTGATGGTGAGGATGAAGATGAGCTGTTCCAGTCGATCATGGAGCATCATGTCTCTTATCCTAAATCAATGTCCAAAGAAGCTGTTGCTATCTGCAAGGGGGTGAGAACACAGACTTTAATGCACATACACATACAAAGGATCTGCTAATCTGGTCCCTGAACTCTTTGACTATCTACTCTGAACACTGCAAGGTAAATTATATTAAGGGCTGTTGTTGTTGGGTAGAGATCGACCGATCGTCAGCCTGACCGATTGTCAGGGCAGATATTTGGTTTTCTGATTATTGGTATTGGTCATTAGACGATTTGGTTTTCTGATTATTGGTATTGGTCATTAGACGATGATCGCTAAATCAGATGCTCTACTTTGGGTATGATGCAGCAGCCTCTTTCTGACTGTGTTCACTCTGTGGTCTCAGCAATGTCGCTCTAACAGAGACACAACCTGCAAAAACTGAAAAAGAAGCAAAAGCCATTGCCACAAACCAAATTTACTGTTTCCCCAGTGGCTAAGCAGAAGCTAACGGCTAAGTTAGAATGCAGCCACAAACTACCCTGAAACAGAGTCTGGAAAACAATGATTATTATTGCTTTAAGATATGGACCTTTGTGGCTAATACAAGTGATAAAACATCATCAATCGTTCTTATTACCAGGAGCTGCTTTAACAATGAAGAAGCCTAGTTATGAATGGAAGGTTCCTGCTTTACCACGCTGTTAAAGTATAACATTTAATGTATATCAGTTCAAATATCCGTTATTTGTCTTTCTTGATGATCAGTGGTTGGTATCGGCCCTGAAAAAAAACGACACCACTTGATCCCTAGTGTGGAGTGTAAGAGTCAAGATTCAAGGCCTTTAATTGTCACAAACACAATTATGCAGAAGTATAGCGTGCAGTGAAATGTATTATGTACCTGTTCCAGACTGAAACAATAATAACGATACTGAGAAGAATAAAACACTCAAGAAATATATATAGATATACATAAATCGAAAGAAACAAGAAAAAATCAGAGTGTCAAATAGTGCAAAGAAGAAATAAAATAAAAAATAAATAAAAATAAAAAAGTACCCAAGAACGCCCCCCAACAGTTGAGCCTACACCAGAGCTGCCTTCATTCTTCACTACCTCTTACTGGAAGAAAAATAATTATATCATTAGAGAAACATCTAAACATTTAAGTTTCCTTTTTGATAAAAATTCTGGTAAAGCACATCCACCTTTGGCTGCACCTTCTTAATGCTGCTTTTTGACTGGTTGGCTTCAAAGCCCACAACGTACAATGACTGACAGTGTTTTTGATGCCATGCAACGATTAGTTGGGCTGGAGATCCAGATGTGTTGTGCTGTAAGTACATAATGTAGCATCAAGCTCATAGTATTTCAGCTCAAATCTACCACACTTATAACTTCTCCCTCCTGAGTCAGATTTCACACTGATATGCAAATAAATCTGTGCAGTTCCCCTGTAAAAACAATGGTTTACTAGCTGATGATGGCTGAAGAAACTGTCACTTTTGTCTTCTCATACACATATATTGAATATTGTAATGCAATTAAATTTGTGTCAGTAAGATGCTCATCACGTCTTCAATTTCGTATTTAATTGTCTATCTCCTAACAAATATTTTCTGCCCGTGACGGGGAGCGAGGATTGTGTCACACAGTTTATTCTACCTGCTTATTTACCCCCCACCTCTTAATTAGTAATTTATTCTTTTATTTACTAGTTTGTGTAACAATAACTGCACACATTTATAAACAGTCCCATTTTACATCTAATTGCAAATAAATTAAAAAAATCAAACATGGCATAATTACGCTACATTGTTAGGTAGTAATTAAAACGTGCAACTCGTAAGTGCACAACAAATCACTTGCAAAGCAACAAAGTGAAGAGGATTGTAATCAGCTGTAAAAACTGGCACTGTGTGTGTGCTCCGTTCTAAGGCTGTAGCTGAAATGTGACGAGCAGAAGCAATGCAGCACACGGGCACGTTAAAGTGCTCCAGAGTATGGATCGGCTTGCTTGATATAAACAGACACGTAAAGACAAATCTGATCATCTCACGTTGTGTGTCTGTGGGATTTCAGCTGATGACCAAACACCCAGGTAAGCGTCTGGGCTGTGGTCCAGAGGGGGAGAGAGACATCAAGGAGCACGCCTTCTTCCGCTATATAGACTGGGAAAAACTGGAGAATAAAGAGGTCCAGCCACCTTTCAAACCGAAAGCTGTGAGTATATTATGCAAAAACACGTTCTTCAGTTGTTGTTATTCTCCCACTGACAGCTTTAGAAACAGCTGGAAGACAATAACACACTTAGGCAAACTTACAAGGTAAGTTGTAGAAACAATTAGATCATCCATCCCTTAAACCCAACCATCACCTGCCGTTGGTCACAGCCCTGACAGAGCTGAGATTTGTCAGAGTTGTCACCAACGATGAAGCTCAGATGTCACTGGCTCGCATGCGGACCAATGGAAATCCACAGTTTCGGCTGTGAATGATTTGATTGGTTGATACCATGTTTTAGTTGTATTTCTCTTTTTTCTCTTTGTCGTTTGTTGTTGTTCTTTTTTTCCTCTCATCCATCATCAAACTCACTCCATCCCGCCCATCTCTCTCCTCTCCTCTCCTTTCCATGGCAGTGTGGGCGTGATGCGGAGAACTTTGATCGCTTTTTCACGCGCCACCCCCCAGAGCTGACCCCCCCAGATCAGGAGCTTATAGCCAACCTGGACCAGGAAGAATTCCAAGGCTTCTCATTTGTTAACCCTGAGTACCCTCACACATCTCACTGACTATGTCACATATCACTGGGCTGAATTAGTAATCCCCTACACCTCACAAGCATACTGTACAGAAACAAAAAAAGGTCATCGCGATGTCATACCCAGGCTGCATTCGACAGGGTTAAAGAAATAACAGGACATTTTGGTGCTTATTCAGTCTCTTTCCCAAAGTGCAATGAGTAGAATTAGGTCAATCTAGTGGGTTTGTCAGGTGTGGAGCTTGAGTCTGGAAATGATTATCTTAGCTTAGCATAAAGCTTGGAAGCGTCTTGAAACAGCTAGCTGGGCTCTCCCAAAGCTTAAAAATATACCAACCAGAACTAAAACTAATAACTAATCGTATTTGTTTTACAGAAATGTAAAAATGCATGCTAAGTTTGCACAGAAGAGCTAATCTGTTAGCACCTGCAGCTGCACCTCTAGTTCTTACTTAAGTTTACAGTGAATCTAGTTTGTTTAAACTGCAAGTGCTGGGTGGACAAATGTAGAAGTAGTTACACCACATAGCCCCTCCTAACACCGGGAGACTTTTGAAAGACTGCTATGACCTGCAATATAAAGTTCACAACACAGACAGTGTTAGCTGAAGATGTCAATAAGCTACTTCCCGATAGCTTTGTGAGCTTGTCCATAGGAAGTAATGCTCACCAGAGCACAGGGATTAATGCAGAAAAGCTTATCACCAAATCAATATACTGTCCTTTCACTGTGACAGAAATGTTAAAGTTAAAAGCTTTCCCATCAGCGCCATGTGTATACTTGCTAATTAGCAAATGTTAGCATGCTAACAGGCTAGACTAAGCTACTAAGCACTATAAACTTTTTAGAGGCTAAACGTCAACATGTTAGCGTTTGTGTTTTAATTATTCTAGCAATTTGACTTCATCATTTAGTTTTTGGGCCTCATAGAGCTGCTAGCATAGCTGTAGATTATAAGTGTAGTTGCCAGTTTTTTTGTCAATAATCATCTGACAGCGCAAAAAAGAACTTTCTAGCTAATTAGCCAGGCTTTTCTACCTCTGTTAATCACATGACTTTCACCTTGCAGGTTGTTGCAGTCACTAGAGAGTCTGTACGGTGTACGCATTAAACAAACTGAATAATATGTCTGGATATTAAAGCTATTATTATTATTATGGGGGTAGAACAAGCCCAGCTCTCGCCATCCACCTTCCAGTCCTCATGCTAAGTGAAGCTAATTGTCTCCAGGTTACATCTTTGTCCCTATTATAAGACTGATATTAATCATCTCATCTGACACTTGGAAAGAAATCAGATAAGCCTTTCACCCAAAATACCAAGATTATTTCCTTAAGTAACGTTCAGATGGAAATGCAGACAGGTACCTCAAAGGATATTAATCAGGAGAAATAATCAGATATTCACGTGTCAAGGTGCCAGTAATAGGCCACTCTTGTTTCTAGTGGCGACACAGTTCTCACTTTACTGCAGATTAGCTCGTCACGTTAACACGGCTGTACTCCTATCAGCTGGCTGTATTTCTATCTTTAGCGCAGAAATGTTGCTCGCTCCTGAATGCTGCCCGGCTGCTCACATCAGCAGGTTAATGTCTGACCTCAGGGCCGACCTGAACCTGCTCCGTCTCTGTGTCACCCTCCCTGTAACTGATTATTGACTATGACACCCTATCAGTGATATTGATGAGTGTACGATGATCACATGTTGGTAATTCATACAGTGTAAGTGAAAACTGACAAATTGCTTTGCTATGATTGTTTGAGTACTGATCAGTTTCCTAATGTTGACTTTACTTTTGTCTATAGGACCAAATACTTACAAACTTTCTGTTCAGTCAGTGTTGTGGTGAGCTTACCTGCATTTCTTTTGCTGATTCAATTTTAAACCACAGAACTAGAATTCTTTACACATGCAGTCAGCGAGAGTTTAAGTCTCTGTCAAGCCGAAAGCTCATTACTTTTCTCCTGATTCATTTCTGAAAGCATTCACAACATTACACTGTGTTTTTAATGACAGCGGACATATCTCTTCGCTTGTACACAAGCATTTTTTGAGAATTTCATGTATGACGAAGCTGTCTAGAGTCTTGTGAAGCTGGTATTTGTTAGTTACAGAAACAGGATGTCCTGAAGTGCCAATATGGTTCATAATCATGAGGATGTGGAAGAATATTGTCCTCAACAACTGTGATGAAGGGCAGCCATCTTGTGCCATTTTGCAGTACATGTATAATTATTATAATATGCATTATAGCTTATCTGTTCACCTACAATAGAAAACTCTTGGAAAGTCATTTTCATATCTGAAATGAATTGTCTGAGTTGTATTATACTTTTGTAACTGTGTAACGATGCAGGGTAGTAACAATGTGTCAAATCTTGTTCTTTGAGCTCGTATCAAAAAATGAGGAGGCAGCAAGGCGACATCAAAGATTTACAAAAATGTCTCGCTGAAAGAGACGAGGATTCTAACAGGGCAAAAAAAAACAGTGAGAGCTTTTTGTGATGATGGTGACAAATCAATGTTGAGATAACGAGAGCTACAGTAGAGATAAAATACATATATTGAGTTCTGTATCAGAGAGATATTTGGAGAAATTGTTGCTGGATGGGAGAGATGCTTCTGTGGATTGTGTAATTGTCCTGTATGACTGGAAACTGATAATATACTCACTGGTGCCTACCAGACTAATTCTGCTGTGTCTGCCTTGTTCCTGCTGCTGCTGTTCTTTTAACAGTTCAACATTTTTTTTTGGCACATTCTATTTGTTTGATTTCTTGCTGAGAGTTTAATCAGAGGATCAGTTTCACTCTTCCATCTGCAGGCGGACTTGCGACCAGGAGTGGCTATTTTAGTGCCGCATAAACAAACCAAACAGCGTGAATCAGTCTAAAGGTTAAGAAAAAGCACCTCTAATGCTCAATAATTACCATGTTTAACTTGTTGTTTTATGAGGGGTTATGTGCAGGTATGAGACAGAGATAGATAGATAGATAGATAGATAGATAGATAGATAGATAGATAGATAGATAAATAGATAGATCGATAGCAAGCATAAACAACTCCAATTTGTAGTTTTAAGCCAATGAAGTATTTATTCATTTATTTCTATGTTCAGGGTCCAAACTGAAATCCTGATTGGAGAAATTTGTGAGTGTAAATTTCACCAATAACAACAAACGTGAAATTTAAGACAAAATAATTACATTTTCCCCAATCTTCTTGTGCCACAGATGATTTCATATTGTTTTTGTGTTTCTAAGCAAAAGAAAAAGATTTGGTTCCTTAGTCTTAATTAGGCGTTGAGGAGAAGATGATGAGCATCATCCTGTATCGCATCATTTTAGGAGATATTTTTCAAATGTGTTTTTCCAGTGATCGTGCAAAAACCCCCTGTGGCCCAAAAAGCATTTTCCTCAACATTAGAACAACATTTTAAAAGCTTGAATCTTGAATAAATAAGCTCTGGTCAGAATCCATTATCCGTCACAGAAGTCTTTGTCATGGTGGCCGGTTGGTTCCAAACTTTGCAATGCTCTCCGCATGCCAGCACAGAACTACCTGTGGTCCGAGCGACGGCCTCCTCAGGTTGCTACAACAATTAAACACAGCAAACGAACTACTGTAGCGTTTCATCTCATTAAACTGTCGGAGACCCCACCTGGTGGCTCAACCAGGTACTACAGCTAATGTACAACACCTTTTCTGATATGTGGCATTCGACCTCTGCCTTATTGAATAATATATTTTTAAGTTAGATTAATCATTAACGTCTCTACAGAAGCATGAGTTTTATGTTTGTGATGAACACTCATGCACATGGGCAATGAGACTCTACGGAGACCCCCAAAAGCTCATTGTGGAACTTTTTTTCCTGGATTACTTTGGTGTTAACTCGCAGTAAGATCTGTGTTACCTTGTAACAAGCTTTGTACTTCTTCTGATCCATATGAACAGCTTTTCTGTTGGTCCTGTTGTAACACCAACCTAGGGAGACATTCTGCTGCAGATACTAAAGAAAAGAAAGGTGGTGTGACACTTTACATGGTCATTTTTAAAGCTCTGATAGTATTCCATGTGTTAGTCGTGAGCACAGCTGCTGCTGCTCTGTCTGACTATGACAGTAAAGCCGTGTCTGGATGGTTATTATTTGGACTTCAGCTCCTGTGGTTCAGTCTGTGGAACTATACATATGTCCAACTGTTGCTATCTGTACCAGTGTTTCTACGACAGATGTGTCACCAAGACACCAGGGGAGTTCAGAGATGCAGTAGCTTTAATACCCTCTGCCACCATAACCATCACTGTGGACACACACACACACACACATGCACACATAACAGCTGCAGCTAGTCAGCGTTACACCCATTAAAATCAGATGTGTCACAGTCATAATAGCAGCAAAAAGTGCAGCCATGGCTCCAGCCACAGTGACAGCTCTGTCATCCCAAGGCTGCAGTCATAATCACGGACAGTCTGTCTGAGTTAGCTGTTAGTGAGAGAGCTGGTGAAGCAGCTCCTCTAATTTTCTGTCTGAATCCATTCGTACAGACTTGTGCCTGACGGACACAGTGGATGGTGCGTAGACTCCCATTATAGTCACACCAGCGGTTGTCTCTAAATAATGTACGATAGTGAATCACAGTGCAGCTCAGCCTGTCTGTATGGGTCAGAGGAAATGAAATGTTAATACACAAATAGGCCAGAAAAAAAAATGGTCACCATGCAACTTTTGGGGTGAGAAAGTTAGAAAAACTTGTGTACAATATTTATTGAAGAGCGCAGGGCTCGTCACTGTACAAACTTAACATGAGCTATGGTTGGTTCTCTTTACTGCAGGGAGTGGAATCAGTCACTGAGCGCCATTTTCAACCCCAAAATAAGTTGAATATGTTGAAAAAACTTGCTTCTATCACCGTCTGTTTCTTTATGCCTGCTGTGGCAAATGATGCATAGTGTGTAGAAAAGCTCTGTTTGGATTTTTAGTTATACTTGTTATTCTACTTTTGGAACAAACCCTGACGTATAGAGTCTTGGCTATTTTGTAATGAGTTTGTGATTTTGTACAAAAAATATTTATTTAATGTGGAATTCCTGTTGATTGTAAATACATTCAAAAATTGAGTAAGTTGTGACGGAGTGACAAGAAGGTTTATAAAAATATAATAGTTGACAGTAGGGGTATTGCAATAAACTGATACTGATGATATTTAACAAATGAAATACTGATATCATGTTAGTAATGCACACATTGTAAAGAGTCCAGTGCCAGTGCTGAGATGATGACTTATTGTGAATTCTTTTGACCATGGTGTAGTAAAAACATCAGCCCATGTGGACAAATAAACTAGTCTTTCTTATCAACGTAGTATATCAGTCTACAGATGCTTTGCAGGATTTTAAGTTGTTATCAAATACCAGAATTAACATTTCTAGAACACCTCTGCTTACAGAAACCTACACTGTAGTTCATATTTCTGTTCACTGCTTTTAAATGCTACATGTAGGGGTTGAAAATAAAGTCAAATCCAACACACTCTGTAGACGTAAGACTCGCAGCCTGCTTCATGCACGACAATGAGCTGAATTAGTGGTGAATACGGTGGACCAGTGGTAGAGAGGGGAAAGTTTCCAGCCCCTCCTCATTTCAGCTGGAAGCCCTGTGATGAGACAAAAGGAGGAGGTAGGAAACCAAACGCTTTGTGTGTTTGTGTGATACATGTGTCTTGCCTGGGGCTCACTGCTTCACTTCCCTGTGTGAAATCCTTTCCGGTTGTGGTTTGGTCTGCAGCTGCTCTGTTTTTATCGATACTTGTCTGTTGTGTACTGGAACATTTCCC